GTTTTGTAAAGAATAAAATAAACAATGCGAATCCTAAAAAAAAAAAAAAAAAAAGAAAAAAAGATAAAAACAGCAGGAACACATTCTGCAATAGGAACATGCTCTTGGGAGGAGAACACTAAATAACGTAATATACTGTAAAGGAGTACTCATTCAACCTGTCCTATTCCAATGGCAACAATTGCAAAGGAGCAAGCCAATATATAATCCAGAGAAAGGCAATTAATAGGCAATTAAAACATAACTCAGTTAAACTAGCAGCATGCTTTAGGACAATGGGAGTGAATGGGGACAACATGTCTACAACATCAGGGGCAGAAATTAACTCTGGATATTAATCACAAAGCCCCCATTTACCTACCCTAATCTTACTGACCTATGACTCAAGCATTATCAAAGTGTATATCTAGGCACAACTCTGATTTCAGTTTGGGCTAAAGAGAAGGTTGCCACCATTTTGGGGGAAAATACTGGCCTTATAATTTCTTTCCTTTTATTAATATTGGCAACTAGTCCCATTTTTACCGGCCTGGTGGGTAAAATATCCCGGGCTCAGTTAGAGAGATTTCCCCTCACTCACTGCCATGGTGACAATGTGTTCACCAGACAGGGAGTGAGGAAAAATCTGCAACAGGGAAACTGACAAAAATAAAACGATGACGGGGATGCTAGTCTTTTCCTACTCTACCTTTTTATTAGCAATTTTATTTCCCTCCGTGTTGCCATTAGAGATTTTCCTGGTAAAACCGTTGTCACCTTGACAGTAAGGCCTCTTTCACATGAGCGTTCAGGTTGTCAGGTTTCCAACCCTCTTGTTTGCTGATGAAAAACAAACAATGCATCTCTATGGCAGTGCGGCTGAAAACTGATGACCATCAGTTCACACCATTTGAGACAGTTCAGCTCTCCATTTTGACTGACTGGGACTGATGTAACCTGATGTAAACTGATGATCAGTTTACATCAGTTCAGGTTATGTCTGTTTTTTTTAGGACTGATGTCGTAAAACAACATGGCAAGCTCAATGCATATTGGGGGAAGCAAAGAATCATGGAAATTTACCATACTATGGATATGTAAAAAATGAATGTAAATTGAATGTAAATTGAACTGACAACAGATGTGCAAATTGATGTAAACTGATATAGTGAAAAGCCCGTTCAAGTGAACCGAAGGGCTCTGGCGGTCGAAGAGAGCCGAAGGATCAGCCGAAGCTACGGCTGGATCCTTCCGCTACTTTGTGAATAACCACCTATTTTTTTTACTTTTGGGTTTAGTTACGCTTTAATAAAGAACTAAAAGTCTAGTAAAAAAAGAGTAGAACACACATTGCTCACCTGGTTGTTTCAGAGACATGTTCATTGTTCAGGTTCTGGGTGCCTTGATCTGGGTTTCTTAGTAGTCGGACATATTTCCTAAAGATGTCTGGAGGTGCCCTGACACCATAAAATATCTTTTTTCCATCTCTAGATTTCTGGAAAGACAAAACATCTATAATTTTTCCTGCTGTTAGATAAATTAGGAAGCTGCAATTTCTGGCCTCTTTCAGAAAATGCTATGCGGCTTTTTCACACCACAACACAGTGTTGCGTTGCAGTGCATTGCGTTAAATTGCAGCATGTCTACATTTAAGTTCCATGCAAATTTACACATGTCAATGCAGCGCTCCACAACTGAAAGGAAGGAGAAAAAAAAAAGATTTTTCTTATTTGGACCCTTCCAGTGACCTGAAGGGTAGCCATCTTTCGTAGGAAGGTGTATTTAGGAAGGTGTATTTAGGGAGAAAGGGAAAATATTTTTACCCAGATGTCTGGCTGGGTAGAACAGCTCCTAAAATGCCAGTTGCCACTAAGGCACAATTGTTTCCTACATGTAATGTGCGGTGTGTGCATTGGATGTACAGTTTGTACACTCCAAATAAAGTTTAAAATCAAAAAACAAAAACAGTGTGATGTTTTGCATCAACAGTGGTTGGCATTGTTCAGTTGCTAAAAATGCCAATCACCACTAATAGTGTGAATGGGTCCATAGTGTTGCAGAGAGTTTTAATGTGAGTTATGTTGTAAATGAGCCCTTTTGATTTAAAATTTCTCAGTGAGAAGATACTGTGCTCATGCCAAGTAAACATAGCATCAATAAATGTAATATAAGCGGTCTAAATGAAGCAATGAATGAAAAATACATCACCCTGAAAACTCCAAAATAAGAACCTAATTTTTCCCCCTGATATACTAGCTATGAGTTTAGATGAATCAATGCTTCCCTCCCTCCCACCGTGTGACAAAACCTTACCTTTATCCTAAAGCGCCTTTGTTCCAGTTTGGACATGTATTTCCGCCTCTTCTCCTCCTCCTCACTATCGATAGACTTGTAATCACATACCAGCACAAAGTCCCATTTCATCTCCTGGAAAGATATAAAAAAAAGATAGAGTTCATGATGTCCATATAATATACCCCTATTAAGATGCTTATAGGAAGTATAGCTGTTAAAAGAAAGAAAACCACAGAACAGGTTTCCTCATTTACACTATTGGGGCTCATTCAGACCAGAGTACACGTCCATACTGGTGTGCACACTTATAAGACCCGATCCCAGAAGGTGCTGTAACTGCGAGCAGCAGCGTGTACACAATTACAGAGTCACACGCACACCCGAATCTGCACATCTGTGTGAGTCCAGGTGATTGCACTTGAGCGCAGACAACATGCAGACATGCACACCCTTCTGAATGAGCCCTAGGGCCAACATGTGGCAGAAGATTGTGAATCCTTGCAGCTGGCATCACAGGTGGTTGGGGAAGTTACGGCCATGCAGTCTGTACAAAGCAATGACAGGCATACATGAGCAACAGCTATTTGCTGCTGAACGCATGACTGATTGCGACTGGGGTTGGACATCTGTCCTGAATTGGAGGTAACCGCTAGATGTGTGGATACATGCAAGTAGCAGCAGACAGCAGTGGTTCCCGTCATTGCTTTGTATAGGCTGAGCAGCCACAGCTTTCCACAACCACCTTTGATCCAAACTGCAGTAATTCACAGATGTTTGCCACATGTTGGCATAGACATTGTGAATGAGGCCCTATATCACATGCTTAAACCCTTCTTAAATTATTCTCCATATGCAAATTCCAGCCACCAGTTGGCATCAGGGCCGGTGTAACAGCATCACGGGCCTGGTGCTGAGGATTTCGGTGTGATTTTTATGGGAATGGTGACGGTCACAGGGGCCCTCTTCCTCCTGTCTGGGCTATGATTTCTAGTCTCTCTACAGCTTGGAGTCAGTGGTGGAGCGCCAGGGCCTGGTTGCAACTGTGACCCTGGTAGATCTGCCACTAACTCCAAGCTGTAGAAGGACTACAAATCTTAGCAATACCATATACAGCAATGCAGAATACCGCCAACTATAGAGGACTACAAATTCCAGTAATACATTACACTGAAATGCAGAATACCATTAGCTATAGAGGACTACAAATCCCAGCAATTATACAGCAATGCAGAATACTACTACGGACTAAAAACGACTACAAATCCCAGTAATGCATTACAGAGTAATGCAGAATACCACCAACTACAGAGGACTACAAATTCCAGCAATACATAATAAAGCAATGCAGAACAGCATCAGCTATAGAGCTTCACCAGCCCCTATGCGAATCCAGCTCGGGTTGGCATGAATAACCCATGTGAATGTGAATGTCCTATGCTACACTTTAAAACCCATCATAAATTATTCTCCATTTGGAGAAACAAGCCACATGTTGGCATTAACAGCCCGTTTGAATGAGGCCCCATACTATACTCTGAAACCCATCTAAAATTATTCTTCATCATTATATGTAAAACCCAACCACAAAGGACAATCCCCACACAGTTTTTGAGGATGCCTGCCCAAATAGGGGGAATGTTGGCATGGATGTGCCACAGATGGAACCTTATTTTATCGAGGAATTCTCCCAAATACATATGGTAATATTAGAAAGTTCGAAGAATAATTATCCTGTACAATAATTATAGAAAGGATGAAATCATATCTTTGCAACTGACAGAATAATGCATAAAGGTGGCCATACACTTTACAACCATCGCAAGACCTTAGTCTTGCGATGGTTGTAAAGTACTTAAAAAAAACGTACGATCTGCCCATCTTGGACAGGCAGATCGTGCTCTCGATCATCGCAAGCCCGCCCCCCTGAGGGGCGGGCTTCCGATGACCGCAATGCTGAACGGGCAGCGTGCGCACACTGGCCCGTTCGGCATTTGTCTCCTGAGCACCGTTCAAACCAGCCGAAAATCGTACGATTCCCGGCTGGTTTTCTAGCGTGCTCCTTAGACAAAAGACGTGCAACCGTACAGTAGAAACGGTCGCACGTCTTCATTCACACTGCTCGATTCTCGTACGATCGCAGGATTTCCCGCGATTCTCGTACGAGAAATTGAGCAGTGTATGGGCACCTTAAGGGTTGTATTAATGTATTAGGCCCTGTTCACGCTTCAGCTGAGCATCTATGGGCACTTTTTCTGGCTTTTTTTGAGCATTTGTACTGATGTTTTTGCATTTGTTTTGTGCTTTTTTTATTACTATTTTTAGGCAATGAATTGCTAGTTACTAGGCTGCGTGTGAATGGCCACTCCTTAAGACTAATATCCGCCCATCAAAGCATTTGGATATTTGCATAAATCCTTCCGGGAGACAGCCCACTGCTTGCATCAGGACTGATGGCTCTTGAAAGCAGTACTGAGGCAGGGTTCTCTGATGTTGTCAGGAAGCTATGTACCTCTCCCCCAGATCTGCCTGCATTACATAGAGAAGCATGGAGACCCCTTGAGGACATCGCTGGGTTTAAAATAAGAAATGTAATAAAAACAAGAAGATTTTATTTTAAATTTTCATTAGCACGTTGAAGGCAGGTGAGGGGGTTAGTAGGAATCAGGGAAGTCAATATGTAAGCAGAAAAACTTCAGCTTTAAATTACCAACTGCTAGGAGATGTCTGGGACCTTTTTGCATGGGAGGAAACAGGTATCAATTAGCCCTTTCATGGTAAGGACAGTTTCCTGTTGTCTAAAGAAAGTGCACCACACAATGTGTGCCACAGTGAGCGGTGGTCATGGTGAAAAGTAGGTTTTGTCTTTGGCTGCATGCACATTTTGCCACAGGGGTGCATGGCGGTGTCATGGTATTATCCAATGACAGCTACCAGCGCCCGCAGCTGTTCACAAGTAATTACACAGCCTGCAAGTAGCTGCGGATGACCGCACTTGCTGATCACCCATAGGAGGCTTCGTGAGGAATGGGGTCTAAAGGAAGTGGATACTTTAAGACCGCAGGTCTAAACTCTGAACAGATATACAATCCATAGAATGCCCAACAGATTCCACTGACTACAAATTCCACTCTGACCGAGATATGAATAGGGAGTATCTTCATTTAAGGCCACTAGTCAATCATTTTTTGGATGGGTCTGGGGGACAAATACTCTCCTGTCCCCCCCAACCCAGTCCTGCCTTGCCCACTAATTCTTTTGATCCTTCACGTTAGTGAGATCTCTCTGCCACATTGCTGGTCTTTGATCCCTCAGATTCTGCAGCATTACCCCAACTAATGTGGGGGTGAAGGGGCATTACCCAACACCCTATATTTTCTGTCGTTTAAAAAAAGCAAATATTCAGACAGGTAGAGTGAAACCAGAGGTCCGTGCACAAGTTATTGTATAGTCAGAGATCATTATTGATCAGATTGGGTGAGAATCTTTTAAATGTTTATGGGTAGTCTTACATTTTACCTGCACTAATGTCAATTTATAACAACTGAAATGCAAATGTCTTCAGTGTTGCCTATAATAAATAGCAGGCACTTCCAGTTGCAGGCTCACTGTATCTGATCTCCGCATAGCATCCATGAAACCCGCAGTCCAGATGTCAACCAACTTGTTTGCCAACTCCCATCACTATCTTTCTATCTTACTATTGGTCAGTCGAGCAGTCCATCACATTAAAAAGGAGAACTATGGAAGTGAGTGCTTTTCACTCACCTCAGTTCTAGCCGACCTGTGACAATGAGACTGTCACAGGTCGGCTCAGTAGATTGGGGATTCCCCCCTCCCATCCGCCAGCGCTGACTGGCGGAATGGACGGGGGAGGGGGCGGGTACAGCTGGCTCTGCCTCTAGATAGGCAGAGCCAGCTGTCAGTCACGCAGCTGGGCAGATCCCGGCACAATTGTCGAGATCCGCTTCAGCGTCTCAGTATACCGCGAGCAGCTGCTTGCGGTATACTGCAGCGCCTCAGTATACCGCGAGCTGCAGCTCGCTATATACTGAGCCTAGGGTGACGGGAGGATGCTAGTTTGTGTCCTCCTGTTGTTACCCTAAGGAGAACTATGGGGAAAGACTTAACCCCATAGTTCTCCTTTAATAGGACAACAGTAGAGTGCAAGGGGTGGGAGGGGGTAGGACAGGAGCCAGCAGGCACTTAGACTGCAAGTCTCGGGAGGGGGAGAGGCACTATGTAATAGATGAGATGTGGCCATCAGCAATCTGGAAGCAACGGCTATTCATATTAAATAAAATGGACATTTTTAATCATGGGCACACTTTACACCTATTATACCCAGTATGGTATTAACCCTTTCACTGCCAAGGCATTATTTGCACACATTATCTACATTTTAGGCCTGAAAATTATTTAAAACCTCCAAGAGTTATATAGCAGAGACTCTGTGGAATAAAATGGTGGCAGCTGCAACGGCGACAAAATACAGTTCCCCAAATTGGCCATAGGCGATGTTTAAAAGCCCACACAGGTCATCAGCTTAGAATTGTGAATATTGGACCTAGAATTATTGCTCTCGCTCTGGCACAATGATGGACTTGTAGATCAAGAATCCACAGATGAGTGGTTTGCTTTCTTCAATAACAGTGGTCTGGAACTACTCAAACTGTTGTTGAAAAGAAAGCAGAGAAAAATGACTAAGATTACCCATCATGCGTAACGCTTTTTTAAAATTTGTAACTTTCATTTTTACTTTATTTCATTGGGATTACACAGGGGGGCTTACAAGCTGGGAAATGACAGCTGAGGGACTGGAAGTGATGCAATCAGCATCGCTTCTGACCCCATTTAGCTGGGATGAGATCAGGGAACAGTTGTTCACCATTCTCTCTTCCTTCTACCTACTGATGGCTTTACACAGCTGAACAGTCATGGCGGTTAGAGGGGCCTGCTGCCAGCGACGTACAGCTTACAGATGGCAGCGAAAGGGTTAAACCTAATGGATGTCCCCATGTACAGTTCTCAGCCCCCTTAAAGTGCAACTGAAGCCAAAAGGTTTTTTAGCTTGGATAGAGTGGAGAGGGATTAGAACCCAATCAGGTTTTTATTGCTGTCTGTGCCCCCGTTATGGAGATTCACCCCATTTGTCCTGGTGACTGTTTTGACTAAATATGGAAGAAGATCCAACATTTTGGGTGGTCACCGGAACAGGAATAGATGAATAATCTTTCAATGGGGGCGCTAGTTCTGGTGACCCTGCTAACCACCAGGAATTACCATCTTTTTGGAGGGATTTCCTCTAACTTCCTGTTGTGGATGTTGGGACAAGAAGTGAAGGGAAATACCACCAATGGGACACAGATGGCAAAAAAAGAAAAGAAAAAAAAAGCTGCAGGCATCACAACTCAAATCAGCTTTAAAGCTGAACTTCAGGTAAACAGCTAAATACACAGATTAAACATATATGAGAGCTTTTCTACATCTGTCCATTCATTCCTGAGATTTGCAGAGCCAACCTGGAGACCTGACTTTTTCTACTTCAGTTAAATACTACAACTAGGTCTGCCAGCCTGTGACTGGACAGTGAAAGGAGAAGCCGCACAGTGGTGAGATCATCTCTCTGTTACCCTGCTTTCTCCTCCTACCAACATGCAGCACAGCTGATTAGCTTATTGCATTGCTTCTTCCTGTGTGAGCTCTGTTGCACAGGGGGTTGCTGATACCAAGTCATACACTAGCTGCTTTTTTTATTTTATATTGAACATATACTTGCATGCATTGGTGTTTTTTTTAATCTGCCAGGAGATTAGCTTGAAAAGAAAACCATTTGTCCGAGCTCCATTTATCTTGCCAGTTTGAGGCTGGTAATTTAGAAAAGGAAACTGCACTCCCTGACTGAATAGATTGCCAGGGATCAGGAGTCCAGATGGCATTAAGGTTTTTTACCACAAACACATGATCATATCACATTTCTGAATACAGAAAGAGAAAAACTTTCCTATAAAACCAGACTTAAATAGCTTGCCATCTGAATACCTTGCCCAAGTATCACTGGAGTAATGTAATGTATATATATTTCATATGAATATAAATTATTTTGAGGATACCCTTACAGAACAGGACACGTCTGAATAGTTTTAGCCTTCCAGCAAGCATATGTCAGCAGTGTGTCAACGATAGAAGGACATGACAGATGATAGCCACTGAACTGTTTTCTTTATTCCTGATAAGGATCCTCTAGCGATATCCCCCTCCCCCCTCTATCTACATGTTGTTCCCTTGTGGGTTTTTATTTTATATAAAGGATTTATCTAATCGCTGCTTAAAGACCTTGAAAGGTAAAAGATAAGAATAGCACGTCTTGCAGGTTACAGATTCTCATGCCATCACTAAATGAGGACATTAATAGGACAGTTACTATCCAGGTCTGATCCACGCAACCTCTTCTGATAGGCAGCATAAGATATTCTAAAGATATACACATCACTTCCACCGATAAATTACTGATCTGTAGACATCGCAGACTAGTACCAAGAAATGGCAAATTCTTGGTGACTGTAAAACCTCCAGACAAGCAAGATCGGTCAAGTTTATGAGTGATATCAGCATGTCAGGCATGTAGATCATTTCCAAACAGTCCTTCTATCTAAGCAGAAGAAACAGAAGGAAGGTGACCAAATTAGAGTGAGCGACAGCGTAAAAACCTGAATACTGCCAGAAATGGCATATTAGTAATATGATATTACCCTTTAAATATAAATAAGTGTGTGAGAAGAGCGACTACATTTCTTGAGTTTAGTTTTTCATTAAGTTTGAGTAGCCCTACGAGTACCAAATATGTAAGAAGGTTGCACTCACAACAGAGGTCAAAGGATCCAAGAGCAGCAAGTTCTCTTGCCAAGGAGTCCCAGGTTCCTGGAAGACAAAGAGGTAAAAGATTAAATATGTGCACATTGGGATCCACTTTAGAATGAATTCTATACATAACATGTAATTTGTAGGTCACGCAGAAGCTCAAATATTGACTACATGCCAACATCACAAGTGATCTTCAAGAAAGCCAGTCATGAGGGAAAAAGTGTCTCCGTATAGTATCTATGTGCTATCAAGCAGGTTGGTTCAATCTGACTCCACTGTAAGTCCTCCTAACTAATTGGTGGGACAAGGATCTCAGAGAGGAGCTTGGCTGAAGTGCTTCAGAACTGGCACTCAGAGAGTTGGTGCAGGTGGACACGGGTATGGGAGAGATGCTTTACAATGAGCGGTTCCTTCCTGGTTATTTTTGTAGACCTAGTTGTAGTCAGGAGGTTGATTTGAGTACGGATCTTGCTAAACACACCATGCCAGATACCCCTATAGACCTATGAACAATTTCTGCTGCCCACAGGTGTGAAAGGAGAAGTGTGGCCCACCACTGGCATGTAAAGAGGCTTGCATTGATTCTGAATCCTACCACCGAAAGTTCTATTTAATGGGGAGAAGACACATTGGTATATACACAGGGCAAGGGGCTGCACACTAATAATAAATAAATCTATGTGGGTCTCCTAAATAAATAAATATTCAAAAGTCTATTTCCCCTTTCACAGAAATCCCAACATAGAATGATAGTGAATATCAATTTATGTTCAATGAAAATAGTTTTATTCCAAAAATTGCAAACACCATACATACACATCGGACAAACTTGTAAAATCCTAAAAAATACCCCACACATGGCTCTGTAAAAATGCAATAATCATGGACAACACCATATATATGTATATATCAATATAATATCAATCCCAATCGAGACTAGTGGTCACCAGCAACAATATTCCCAGGATGGTTAATATGATTCAATTTTTAAAAAAGGTATCCAACAATGTGTCTCCAGATGAAAAAAAAAAAAGACGCATTGCTTACTCCACACTGTGCCAACATTTGCAGTTTTAATGATAAATTACAGAGTGGAGTGTGGAACCCGGACGCCCTATAGAGTGTTCTCTGCACAACATAGTGTGATAGTAGGAGAGCCCTGTCACATGACTTTGACAGGTCTCTTCTCTGCCTGTTCCCACATTTTTTTACATTATTATTATACAAGAATTACTGTATATAGCAGCAACAGTTTGCGCAGCACTTTACAATTACAATACAATTCAAGACAAGATGGTAAGGAGGGCCCTGCCCCTGAGGGCTTACAATCTATTAATTTGAATAAGGCTTTGCTTCGAGTCTTGAAGAGAGAGTACATTTGTAAATCACAACGCTGTGTTTTAGAAATGTACCAGAGTATTTTTGAATACTCTGCTACATTTGTTTTTTAAAAGTAGTGTTATGACTGTGGAAAAAGGCTAAATAGCTGCTATTTATATCAGCCTCTAAAACTCCTAGGGCTGTGTTACTCTTTAAGCCACTGTAAAATAAGTGAACCCTATACTTGTTCTGTAACAGATATGCATGTGAAGCTTCCTATTCCCTGTCCTCTGTGTATGCAATTTATGTCACCTGGTCTCCAGACCGGGTGACACCCCGCCGTGTCGTCATCTAGCGTGTGCGTGACGTGTCATCGCGCATGCGCAGCCGTCTGATGGACGCCGTCAGAGAGAGGATGGGACCTTCACCCAGCGGGATAAAGGTATTCCGCCAGGTCCCCTCCTCACACTGTCGGGCTCTCGGTCCATGACGGAGTGCCCGACTTTTTAGAGAGGGTGATACCAAAATGACTCGGTCATTTTGGTGTCATCCCTGCAATGGTGTCAGCCGGGTGCGGGCCGCTCCCCTTGCAACCCCCTTGTGACGCCACTGACCCCAGCCAACAAAAAGATAAAATGATTAGCCCATTTAAAAAAAATGAAAAAACAAAACCAGCTTTTGCTGCAATATTTTCCTTCAAGTCAGAGATTTCCCATGGAGTACTTTTTCTGCCAATAGATGTCCTCAGTCTGATGGCCGGTATCATTCAACCCACATCCTCTGAGCCCAGGTCATCCTGGACCTGACCCAGTCTGTGATTGGACAGTGAAAGGAGAAGCAGCACAGCGATGGTATCACTCTGTTTTCTATTCTTATCGGCATGCTTCTTGTCAGCACGTGTAACATTTGGCTGGCCGGAGGTTGATACTACACTGCTTATTTGTATAAACTACAATAAAAGATGTACGAATGAATATAAAGCTTGTTGTGCATTCAGATATTTATTGACTGTGGATATGATTTGCTTATTCAATAAAGTGAACATTTCATAAGTGAAATAGAGGGGCTCTCTTTTCTAAAAAATGCTAGAGTTCTTGCTGCATCTGGAAATGAGTGTCAGAATTGACTATCTTTATTCTATGTCAGCAGCTGGAGCTAAAAAAAAAAAAAAGGAAGACAGCCAAGGAAAATCTTCAAAATGAGGACCCATTATTCTCTCATGACAGATTTTCTGCAAGAGGCATAAGTGACAAGTGGTTTATCCAGCTAGACAGAGGATGGGGTGAATTTATTGATGATATCACTAACAGGCGTAAAGAAGCTGTCAACACCTCTACAGCCTGTATTTCTTGTGACGGACCCCAGTACTCAGGATGAGTATGTCTGCCGCTGTATTCTTCCTTGCTCAGGAGGTATTGCAACACGCTGATATTTAGCTCCCAGTTTCCCCAGTCACTAGCCAAGACCGAGTGTAGGGTGAAACAAACTCTGATTTATTGAGAGACTGTGCAACCTTTTATACAGAAAGCGATCAGATCAGAATATAATCCCATCACATCCACCCTGCCCTCCCCAGACATTCGGTCTGCACAACTCAGCAGGGGTCCACCTGCTTAAGAGATGCAGACAGCCATAGCAGCAGCCTGGCCAGAATGTCATTGTCCTAAGCTCCTTCAGAGTACGAAGACAGATAACGAGGAGTGGTGCTGACAGTCTTTTCATAAACAGGTTGCCCAGAATAACACAATTAAACACAACTCAACACCAATACACATTTAACTCAAACTGATGGCCATGTCATCACATTTCTGTTCTAAATAAGGGTTACATGTTAGGAACACCAAGGAAGGAGTAGGTGGAATTCAAACCTCTGTGCCCCAAAACCATATTTTAAATCCATATTTAATAATGGGTGTAGGCCACCATTTATACTTGATAATTTAGCCTGATAATTAATGACTTCCATAATAACAAATGGTCATGTATTTTAACAGTTTGCTATTAAAGACTATGCATTGCCACCACTAAATAAATAAAATAAATGAATATTAATGCCAAGCAAGATCCTACTTTCCCTGTTTGGTATTCATTATGTTTATATTATGAAGAATAAAAGAGGAGGATGAGAACACCTCAAGGTAGGCAGAAACATTCATATCTCCCATCTGGAAGCCATCGGGAGAATTTTCCCACCAGACTCCACAAGACTCAGGAGGAGTTAAATCTTAAAAATGTATTCAAGTACCCCAACTATTAACAAAACTGTAGCTTATTTGTGTATCACTTGGCTGTAGATCCTAAATTATCTGAATTTGTGCTGACACTGTCCTTCCTTCTGGAGGGTGGCTACTATTGTTCCCCATGGTCCCTGTGTGTGTTGTAAAGTATCCACTGCTTCAATCTCACTCCCGTGATGGGACTACAATCTCACGTGTAGTTACTAATTTGTATTGAGATTGTAGTCCATCATGGGAGCGAGCTTGGAGTGGTGGCTACTTTACAACACACACAGGGACCATGGGGAACAAAAGAAGCCACCCTACAGAAGGAAGGACAGTGTCAGCACCAATTCAGAGATGATTTGAGGATCTACAGCCAAAAAGGTGATAAGATACATTTTTGTTAATAGTTAAGGTACTTGAATGTATTTTTAAGATTTAACTCCTGAGTTTAGGGTTTAGTTTAAAGGGTGAGTTTTTTTTGTTTTGGACAGAGTAGGAAAGGGTAAAGTTCCTGTCAGGTTTATTATTTATGTCTTTGTCCTAATGAGATTTACTTCCTCTTCTTGTCCTAGAGACACTAGGAGGAAATTTCTCCAAATGAGAAAATCCCCTCGGAGACCCCATTCACACCGGGTTGGTTCGGCTGCGCGGATTCAGCCGCACAGATCCGCCGACTTGAACGATCCCACACATTGCTATGGGGACCGTTCATGTGACCGCGCGGGTCTGCGCGATCGGAACCGCCCCCAGCCCAAACTGCTCCCTGCACTATTTTTGCTGCGCTGATCGGTGCGGTTTCCATACAGGTTTCAATGGAACGGTGCTGATCAGCACGGTTTTGGGCGTTTTTTTATTGTGCTTCAGTGCTGAAACGCAATTAAAAACTCCCAAAATCTCCCTTGCAAGATCAGTGCTGTAACCGCGTGGATCTGAACTCGCCCTGGTGTGAATGGGCCCTTATACAGCGATCACCAGAACAGATGTCCCCATTGGGAGATTTCCCCTCACCTCCTGTTCCTGTAGAATCTCCAAGAGAGAGACCAATACACCCCAAAAGAACTTCTGCTCTCTTGTGGCCAGCTGTACAGTCAAAGGGACCAATTGAAGACTCTATTCACACCAGGGCAACAGCATTTCTGCACGATTCTAATGTGCGTTTCAGCGCGTTTTACAAGCATTTTCTGTTTTTAAGTAAAAGCTTTTAAGGTGCATTTTCAGCTCGGTTTACAATTCTCCAATGCAGAGCAGCCTGAGCTACAAAAACACTCCTAAAAAAAAGCACACAAAAAACGCACTGATTGGCAGGTTTCCATTGAAGTCTATGGAGCAAAACGGGCTGATAAGTGCCACAAGAGAAGCTATTTCAAGCATAATGCAGATTTGAGGCGTGATTCAGTGCATTTGTGTGAACGGCCCCCATAGGAATACATGGAATGTTATGTTGCATGCATGGAAAAAAACGTACAACTAAACACCCTGGTGTGAATGGGGCCTAAAAGATTAATGGTTTTTTTT